GCGGAGGGTGGGGCGGGAACTGGGAGAAGGGGAGTTATGGGAAAAAAAGAGGAACAAATGTAATCAGAACAATAAAGATTTAATTTAAAAAAATAATAATAAAATAAAAAATAAATAAATCCTAGTTTGAACACAGTGAAGAGGGTCAGAAGGTCAATCTGACTTTACTCGCATTAACACTCTCCCAAGGTGGCACATATGAGCGCCAAGAGAGGTCTTCTCTGCTCCTGATTTCTCCCACAGAGGAAAGTGAGAGTGTGTGAGTGAGCATCTGGACTCCCTGCCTGTACCAGACTCTGCCCAAGGGGCTCTTTTCTCTCTTGCCCCATCTGGAGTACTGAACGGTGACTGCATGACCAAGGGGGGCAGGAAGAAGCAGAGAGAGCAGTAGATAGAACTCTCAGAGGGCATTGAAGTGATGTGGATCCTACCAACTACATGACAGACTGCATCATGCAGCCTGCCCATGAGCCCCCAGAGATGCTTCGCTAGTAAGCCTCTCCCCATTGGCCTGCAGGCACCCCCAGTACTCCTCGGGCCTTACCCACATATGCACACATACTATGGCTGGCTCCCTGTGCATCTTCCCAATGGCAGCAGCAATAGCAAGATTTGGCAGATGGCTAGTGAGCATGGGCAGAAAGTTGGCCCAAATCTGTGGACAAGAGAGAGACCACAGAACTTAAGCTTCAGTGCAGTCTTTGGAGAAAAAAGAATGGGGGAGACTGTCCGCACTTGACCTGGTGTGTTTCAAGATCAAGAGAAGACATACTACAAGCTTAAGATCTCTGCCACAAGAGGGAGCAAGAAGCGTGAAGCAGGTGTAGCCATAGAAGGTCTGAGAAAACCTCAGAATCTCTAGCAGGGTTGATGGAAGGTCTTTCTCTCCAGAAGGCAGTTAGTAAAGACCGGAGGAGAGATTGTTACTTTAAATGCAAAGACAACAATGCAAAACTTCAAGGGAAATAAAATCAAGAAAACATGACACAACTAAAGGATCATGATAATCATCCAGTAACCATCCAAAGACATGGACATCTGCAACTTACCCAATAAATAATTCAAAATACTTGCTTTAGGGAAACTTAATTAACTACAAGAAAACACAGAATGACAATTCAAAGAAATCAGCGAACAATACATGAACAAAATAAAATAAAAGTTTAAGAGATAAAAATCATAAAAAAAAAGAATCAACCAGAAAGTCTGGAGCTGAGAATACAATGAATGAAATGAGTAATATGATATATGCAAATGAGAAATGCAATAGAGAACATGAACAGCAGAATGAATCAAGCAGAATAATTAGTCTGAGTTAGAAGACAAGAACCTTGGAATTATGTAGTCAGAGGAGAACAAACAAAAAAAGACAAAACTGAAGAAAGCTTACGTGATCTGTGGGATACCATCAAGAGAATGAATGGCAAACTTTTGAAATCCAGAGGAAGAGAGGAATAAAGTGACAGAAAACTTCGCAGATCTGGGGAGAGATTTGAATATCCATGTTCACAAAGCGCATAAGTCACCAAAGAAACTCAGAGATGCCCTCCAACACACATTATAATAAAATTGTCAAAAATCAAAGAAAAGAAATCTTAAAACCAGCAAGAGGAAATAAACTTGTAACTTAAAAAGAAACTCCCATAAGGCTCTTAGTGGATTTGTCAGCTATGAAAATGTACAACATACTGATAAAGGTAAGTATGCATCAAATACAGAATACTCTAATACTGTAAAGTGGTCATGTGTTAGCCACTTAACTTTAGTATAAAGGTTAAAAGACAAGAGTATTAAAAATAACTATAGCTATCACAATTATTAATGAGTACACACATAAAACTGGTAAATTGTGACATGAAAAACATGAAAGGGAGGAGTAAATGAGTCGTTTTTGGTGCAACTGAAGTTTAGTGTTATCACCACAAAGCAGACTGTCATATCTAGAGGATGTTTCATATAGGCCTCTTGGTTATCACAGAGCAGAAATCTACAACAGATTACTAAAGATCAAAGGGAATGAAAGCATACCACTATGCAAAATCATCAATTCACAAAAGAATACAGCAAGAAAAGGAAGAAAGGAACAAGGGAACCACAAAACAGCCAGAAAAACAATAAGATAGTCCTCACCTATTGATAATTACTCCAAATGTAAATTGATTGAATTTTTCAATCAAAAGACAGAGTGGCTAGTTAGAAAAAAACAAAACAAACAAACAAAGAAAAGCGCAGGACCAGATGTTTCTCTGGTGAATTCTACTAAACATTTAAAGAACCAATGCCATTCCTACTCAAAATATTCTCAAGAATTGAAAGGAAGGGAACACTCCCAAACTTATTTTATGAAGCTATCATTACCCTGATACCAAAGTCAGTAAGGGAACTACAAGAAAAGGCCAATAGCCACTATAACTATAGGTGTAAATATTAGCAAATGGAATTCAACAGCACCATCCTCAAGTGATATTTATCCTTGGGATGCAAGGATGATTCAATATAGGAAAATTAATAAACATGAAAGTTAAAAAAACTATATTATCATCTTGACAGATGCAGAAAAAAGCATTTGATAAAGTGCTTAGACTCATTTTTTTTAATCTTTCATGATAAAAAAAAGTATCAACAAATTGGGATAGAAGACGTGTACCTCAATACAATAAAGACCACATATGACAGCCTTACAGCTAACATCATGCTCAACAGTGGAAGTCTGAAAGCTTTTTCTCTAAGATCAGGACCAAGACAAGGATGTCCACTCTCACAGTCCTATTCAACATAGTACTGAAGGTATTAACCAGAGCAATCAGACAAGAAAAAATAAATAAAAGACATTCTAATCAGAAAGGACGAAGTAAAAATATCTTTGTTTGCAGATATGATCGTATATATAGAAAATCTTACAGACTCCACCAAAAAACTGTTATAACCAACCAACAAATTTGGTAGAGTTGCAGTATAATCAGTTGCATTTCTATACATTAACAACAAAATATCTGGACAAAAAGAAAGAATCCCATTCACAATAGCATACTTAGGAATAAATGTATCCAAATTGATATACAAATTTAACTCCATTCCTATCAAAATTCCAGTAAGATGTTTTATAGATATAGATAAGAGTATTCTAATTTTTTTATGGAGAGGCAAATGAACTAGAATCACTAAAATAATTTTGAAAAAGGAGAACATGGCAGAAATCACTCTGCCTTATTCTACAGCTATAATAATTAAGTCTGCATGTTATTGATAGAGGAATAGGCACATAAATCAGTGGAACAGCACAGAGAACCCAAGCATAGCCACAAACAAATACAGACAAATGATTTTTGACAAAAGTGCAAAATCAATTCAATGGAAGGTAGTCTTTTGAACAAATGGTGCTGGAGCAATTGGACTTCCATAAGCAAAAATATGAACCTTGACCTAACAACATGTTATACAAAAATTAATTCAAAATTAATTAATACAAAATTAATGGCACATAGACTTAAATGTAAAATATAAAACTATAAAACTATAAAATGTTTACAATATAAGAAACCATAGGAGAGAGTCTTTGGGACTTAGAGTTAGGCAAAGAGTTCTTACACTTGATACTAAAGCATCTATATATATAAAAGCCAAGCGACCAGAACAACAGAACGACCAGAACGACTGGAATGACCGGTCGCTATGACACACACTGTGGCGGCCAACTGGCCCTGTCAGAGCCCCGATTGGCCCCCCGCAATCTCCCGCAGCCCCTCCCTCCAGCCGGCCCAGGCCCCAATCAGGGTGGAGGGGGGCCAGATGGACCCCACCTGTGCGCAAATTTTTGCACCGGGCCTCTAGTAATCCATAAAAGGAAAAATTGACAAATAGGACTTCATCAAAATAAAAAAAACTTTTACTCTGAGAAAGACCCTGTTAAGAATATGAAAGACAAGTTACCAACTGGGAGAAAATATTTGCAAGCCACATACATAGCCAACAAAGGACTAGTATCTGGAATGTACAATATAGAAAAACGCCACCAGACCTTGGACTGAGGAGGATACACAGTTGGCTAATAAGCACCTGCTTAACCATCAGAGAAGAGTCATTACCCTGCTCTTCCCAATCTTAGCAAAACTCCCCAATTCTTGGGAGGCCGTCCCTGGCCCCCTCTTACCTCCCTTTGTCCTTCTCCCAGCCTAAAGCTGCCTTCCCTTATTTGGTCCTCATAGGCTCTCTCTATTCCTACATTAGCCCTCCCCGTCTCCTCCATGCTTTGGACCTTATCTCAGTGTCAGGAGGAAGGCAATCCTGGGCAGCCACTGAAAAGGGAGGCAGGGTGGTAAAGGGAGGAGGGGAAGAAGTTGAACTCAGCTGAGTTGAGGCCGAGGAGTCTTTTTGGTGATCCCCGCATCAAACCAGAAGCCACCAAATTATTTCCCCTCTCTTCTCAGATCTGCAAGCCTGGACTTGAGATTTTCTATTCCCTAAGCAGCAAAGCCTTTGCTCTTCTATTCAAATCAGTCTTGAATGTGCCACTTAATGGCCAGGAAGCTGACCTCTGGTTATTTCACATCCAAAATATGGTCAAAGTGGAAGAAGCATGTTAGGTGAAGGGGCAGGCCAAATTACTCACCGCAGAGTGGGGGGGGGGGGGGACTGGCGAGTGTGTGTGATCCATAGGGACACATAGACTCGGACTTAAAACAGTGGAGGGTGGAGGCCCTCAGGATCTTTTGAAACTCCCAGGTGGAATCCAGGTCGGATGTACATCCTGCACGGACCTTTCCTACCCAGCCAGGATATCCTGTGTTTGTCGAAAGGACTGCACAGGGAAGCCCTGACCATTGTCCTTCCCCAAATCTGCCAGTCAGCCCCTCCCAGCCTGCGGCAGCCACCACAGGCAGAGGAAGAGTAACTCTGGAAACCGGGTTATCAGCATCCTCCATGGACTTCCTCACCTCCTCCCAGGCCTCATTAGCTCCAAGCTCCTTAGCATCCTCCAACAGAAATCCGGGAGGCCGGGATAGGGTCAACGCTCTGAAGTCAGCCCCCTGGCTTTTGCCAAGACCTGCCTCTGCACAGCTCTGAGTGGACAGCTGGAGGCTGCAGCTGGAGGCCTGGGCCCCGATGGAGCCCCGGCTGGGGCCGGGGGCGGCTGCCCTCCGCCTGGGCTGGCCGGCTCAGCTGCTCTGGGTCTCAGCCCTGAGCTCTGCTGTCTCCTCGCCGGCTCCTCCTTCTCCTAGAACCAGCTACAGCTTGGGAAGGACTGTCGTCGGCCTTGATAAATGCAATGCCTGCATTGGAACATCTATTTGCAAGAAGTTTTTTAAAGAAGAAATAAGGTCAGAATCTCAATCAGATCGTTCTGAGGGGCAACATTCTGTTCCTGTGATGAAAGATGTCCAGGAGTTTGTTGAAAAGGAGCCAGGTTGTAATTTATGGGTGGGAGCTGAAGCAACGCCATTTAATCAGAGTAGCGGCGGGTTGAAGTTGGGGTGGAGAGGGGGGTCAGGTGTGAAGCCAAGTTCCAGCCCTAATTGCTAAATTCAAACTGTCCTTTTGAAGTGAGAGCTTAAAGTTTTCTCTTCTATGAAGGGAGTAATCTGGGACTATGGCATTGACCAAGTTCATTTCTCAAAGGGGGAGGGGGGAATAAAATTTATAGAAAACCTACTATGTGACAGACTTTTTATGTGTGTGTGTTAATCTTCACCCAAGAATATTTTTCCATTGATTTTTAGAGAAAGTGGAAGGGAGAGGGAGAGACAGAGAGAAACATCGATGTGAGAGAGACACATTGATTGGTTGCCTCCTGCACGTACCCTGACCAGGGCCGGGGAACCTGAAACCAAGGTACGTGCCCTTGACCGAAATCAAACCCAGGACACTTCAGTCTGAGAGCCGACGCCCTATCCACTGAGCCAAACTGGCTGGGGCGTAACAGACATTTTAAAGCTATTTTTATATACTCACTTCATCCTGGAAGTGTTTTTCACTCATTATTCAGGTAGCAAACTGAGACATAGGAAGATTAAGGGTCTTGTTCAAGGTCACCACCTAATAAGTGGCAGATCTGGGATTCAAGCCAGGGTGGTTTGCTCCAAAGTTTCTGAACCAGTTTTCTGTTGTGAGATGTTGCCTTGACCGGAGGAAAAGCCGAGTTTAGTAAATTGTAATGCACGTGGCTGTCATCAAAGAAGGGATCCCACTCTGGAAGCCAAGCCTGTCAACACGCAGTCAATGAGCCTTTATCACGGCCAAGACCCGGCAGGGGTTGTAGCAACATGGCTATCACTCTGGCCACTGCCCTCCAGGGGTTTGGGCGGAGGGAGCTGTGTTACAAATAACAATAATAAGGCCTGGCCTGATGCAGGCCAAAAGCGAAGTGTAAAGGACCTCTGGGAACTAGAAGAAGGGGCTATTAATTCCAAATGGGGACTGGGGAATGGCTTCTCCAGGGAAAAGCATTCTGAGCAAGGCCTGGAAGGTTGAGCTGAAATTTAGTGGGAAGGGAAGGGCTTCCGGTAGAAGGACCAACTTAAGCAAAGACCCAGAGGTGTGGGAAGAAGTGAAAAGCGCTTAGTGACTAGAGCATGGGGTATAGGCGGAAGCGTGAGAGAGGGAGGAGGATTGGGAAAGTCAGATGGTGCAGGGAGCCTTGAATGCTGTGCCCAGGAATTGGGACCTTAACCTATAGACAGTGGTTCCCAGCCTTTTTAATACCCAAGGCCCTTTGTATAGGTCTCTTCTCTGCCCGACCCTAAACACCTGTCTCAGTTGTATAAGATTTGGTGACTAAACAGAAGGTATTAATTTAAAATAATTTTATTTCCAATCAGTATTAACCAAAGGTATATTTGATTATTCAACTAAGTTACTAAATAAAAATAACAAATAGAAAATCATCAGAAGTGTTGGACTTCTTTAAATATATTTTTTTATTGATTTCAGAGAGGGAGAGAAGGATAGAAACATCAATGATGAGAGAGAATCGTTGATTGGCTGCCTCCTGCATGCCCTTTACTGGGGATGGAGCCCACAACCAAGGCATGTTCCCTGATGGGGAACTAAACTGTGGTTCATAGGTGGATGCTCAACCACTGAGCCACACTGGCTGGGCCAGAAGTGTTGAACTTCTTTTGCAAGATGCTAGTTATTGCATGGAATTCATGTGGACTTTCCCTATTAGAGCTGTTTTTAAGGCATTTTGAAAGTTGAACGCCCTCACCTCCCCCACCCCTCAGACACAAACACAATTGGGGAAGCTAACATATTGTCTGACCTTGGGCAAGGTCCTTAAGCTCTGTAAGCATCAGTCTCCACATCTGTAGAGTGGGGGGAGGAGGTGTTAGGAGAATCAAAGGTACAAGCCTGTGTAAAGCTGCCATCTATACATGGAGTAGAAGTTCAGAGAGCCATGGCTAGTCCTGCTGTGCTGGTTGCACCAAGAGGATAAGGTTTGTGTCTGGCATGAACCTCCCTCGACTATTCTGCCATCTATACACTTCCTTAATTGCGAGGACACAAAAGCAGCCCTCACATAGAAAGAGTTCAGAGCTCCCCAGTCTAAAACTGAGGGATGGATCAGACCAGCTGTGGTCCCCTGTGTCGCTGTCTCCCCCCCGCCCCACCTCCCCGGGGCTCTGCTGGCCTCTGGTTCTGGCAGTGTTGTGACTAGACCCTGCTTGGCCCCTGCTTCGCCTCCCAGATGGATCCTAAAAGGGCTCTTCTTCCAGGTTTGACAGCTGGCTGGCCACCCACGTCGACCTGCCTCTGGGCTACTTGCCTTCGTACCCTGCAAATTACTCAGATGATTCCAAAACCTGGCGCCCCGTGGAGATATCGAGGCTGGTCAGCAAACACCAGCATGACGTCTCAGACAGGAGAATCTGCGCCTCTGCCGCAGCCCCAAAGACCTGCAGCATCGAGCGTGTCCTGAGGAAAACAGGAAGGTTCCAGAAATGGCTGCAGGCCAAGCGCCTCACGCCCGATCTGGTGCAGGTAAGCCGGCTGGTCCTGTGGCTGGAGACTGGGGGGTGAGATGGAGGAGGTGTGTTCTGTCTAAGGTGGGACAAAGCAATGCCATGAAACAGGGGCTTGTGACAAGAAAGGAACTAAACAAGATTGATCCGTTCATCCTGATGAGCTTATGGATATGCAGACACTTTGCAGAAAGTCTATCCGCCTGGAAATGCACGGCCCAGCGTTTTGTAATATGCGGGTCCCATTCTTCAGTCGGTTGTGCCAAAACTTTACCAGTTTTCTCATCTTGTGTTCACAGCAGCTAAACAAGCTTTCCTTATTTCTGCCAAAAATGCATCCATTAACACCTTGTTCAAACACAGTCAGAGCCATAACCATTTTCACTTCACTCTGACCCTCTCCTAGCCCATCTTTTCATCCCCAGCACAAATTTTTCCCTTCCTTATAAAAGACAGGAAAATCTCAACAGCTGTTTTATAAATTGTGGACAAAGTCCATTCCTGCTCCATCCACCAAGATCAAGGTCATTGCCATCCCATGTTGGCACCATCTCCTGTCCCCCTTTCCAGAGACCCTTGGCCCTAGGGGTTCCACCAAGTGACCAACAAGCTCTACACCAGTGGTTCTCAACCTTCCTAATGCCGCGACCCTTTTAATACAGTTCCTCTTGTTGTGGTGACCCCCAATTTCACTGTTACACATTGAACATAGTTAAAGCATAGTGATTAATCACAAAAACAATATGTAATAATATATGTGTTTTCCGATGGTCTTAGGCGACCCCTGTGAAAGGGTCGTTCGATCTCCAAAGGGGTCGCGACCCACAGGTTGAGAACCGCTGATCTACACCCTTTCTTTCCCGTGCAGGTAGCATCCAAACTCCTGCTCTTTCCTTCTTATCAAAACTCACCTATCAGACTGTTTTGAGAAGATCCATCATCAACAAACGGGGGAGGGCAAACTCACTTATCCACCCAAGAGAATTGAAAACAGGTGCTTAAGCAAACACTTGTGCATGAATATTTATAGCAGCGCTGTTCAGAGTAGCCAAAAGGTGGAAACAACCGAAATGTCCATCAACTAATGAATGCATACACAAAATATGTTATCCCCGTACAATGGAATATTATCCCGTCATAGAAAGGAATGACGTACTGATGCATGCGACAACATGGATGAACCCTGGAAAAATCATGCCAACAAAAGAAGCCAGACACAAAAGCACAAATATTGTATGATTCCATGTTTAAGAAATGTCCAAAATAGACAGATCCATAGAAGCAACAATCAGGTTAGTGGTTGCCAGGGGCTGAGGGGAAGAAAGAATTAGGAGTGACTGCTTCATGGA